ATTGTTGCTTCTCAAGTCTTGGGGTTCCTAGCCAGTCTATTTTTTCTTTCTTGTTTGCTGTCTAGGGCATGTAACTGCACTTCATGGAGAGAAGCAGCATAAAGTGAGTCTATATAATCTTTTCCTAGAATCAGAAGTTCTGACATAGTTTAAATTTGTACTTAACATGAGTGAGGAATTCTTGTCAAGTATTAAAACTTTTAGAGGGGCCGGAGAGATGGCTTATTGACTAAAGGCACTAGCTGCTCTTACAGAAAGCCTAGGTTTAGTTCTCAACACCAACTCTAGTTCAAAGGGTTCCTTTTCTGATCCCCAGAGGTACCAGGTAAGAATACATACACAGAGGTACATGGTGCACATACAGACATGCAGGCAAAACGCCAATATTTATATATAATAAAACAAAAAGAATCCTAGCTAGGTGGTGGTGCATGCCTTTAATTTGCCCAGCACTCAGGAGGCAGAGCCAGGCAGATCTCTGAGTTTGAGGCCAGCCTGGTCTATAAAAAAAATCTAAAAAACTGTTCTCTTCAGGTGTGGTGGTGCACACCTTTAATCTCAGCACTTGAGAGGCAGATGCAGGAGGATCGTTGAGTTTAAGGCTTGCCTGTTCTACTTAGTGATTTCCGGGCCAGCCAGGGCTACATAGTGAGACCCTGTCTGAACCAACCATGCAAACAAAAAATGTTTTAGAGCTGGGTGTGGTGGTGGCGGCGCACGCCTTTAATCCCAGCATTTAGGAGGCAGAGACAGGGGATCTCTGTGAGTTTGAGGCCAGCCTGGTCTACATTTCAAGTTCTGGGAGAGCCAGGGCCTCTGTCTCAAACATAGATTCCTTTGTGACTTCCCACTCCCTTCTAGGAACCCCACAGCCACCACATTTTCTGGGAGCCCAGAGCAATGCATTGTTCATCCCTCATCATCATAGTGTCTGTAAACTGTAGATACTGTCTAGTGTATCGATTGTCTTTTTAAAATGTTTACTATTTGTATTTGTGTGTGTGTGTGTGTGTGTGTGTGTGTGTGTGTATGCTTGCATGATTTCATGTGCACCACTTGTGTGCAGGTGCCTTTGGAAGCCAGAGGGTGCTAAAGCCCCTAAAATTAGAATTCCAGGTGGTTGTGAGCTGCCTGATGTGGGTACTGGAAAATGAATCCTGGTAATCTGCAAGAACGGTAACTGCTCTTAACAACTGAGCCATTTCTCCAGCTCCATGTTGATTACTTTTTGGCTTTGGCTTTGCTTATGATATATATTTTTGATACAGGGTCTCAGTGTGTAAACCTGGCTGGCCTAAAACCTGCTCTGTAGACCAGACTGGCCTGTAGACCACAGAGATTTAATTGCCTCTATCACCCAAGTGATGGGATTAAAGGTGTGCACCACCATACCTGTGTGATATTATTTTTATTTTGTTGTATTTTAAACAGGGTCTCCCGTGTAGCTCTGTCAGGCAAGGATCTTTTTTTTTTAAATATTTTTATGGTTTATTTAACTTTATTTTATGTGCAATGGTGTGAAGGTGTCAGATCCCCTGCAACTGGATCTTCAGACAGCTGTGAGCTGCCATGTGGGTGCTGGGAATCGAACCCGGGTCCTCTGGAAGAGCAGTCAGTGCTCTTAACCTCTGAGCCATCTCTCCAGCCCAGGCAAGGATCTTAATATGTGTACCAGACTGACCTTGAAAGCCACAGAGATCTGCCTATCTCTGCCTCAGGAGTACTAAAATTTAAATGGTGTGTGTGTGTGTGTGTGTGTGTGTGTGTGTATGTGTGTGTGTTTTATTGTAAATATTTTTCAATGCTTTGTTTTTTAATGTAGCTCAAGGTGGACTTGAACTTGTGATCCTCCTGTTTCTACCTCTGCAGTGCCAGGATTTGAGACAAGGGTGCAGAGGCTGCGCCGCCTTTAGAGTGCAGTTCAGCTTTGGAGTGGTGGTGCGTGCTTGCAATTCCAACCCTTGGGAGGGTGAGACAGGAGGTTTGCTAGGAATCCAAGGCCGGTCTGGGCAGCGTAGTGAGCTCAAGGCCATATGGGGCTGTAGAGTGAGACCCTGCCTCAGCAAACCAAAACCACCCCCCGACAAAAATGCAGCTAAATAATGTAGTTAAATATATCAATGTTTTCCTAGCTTCTGGGCTTTGTGTCCTTGAGAAAGCCTCCTCGTTTTGAGATTGTTTTTTCTCTCTGATGCTTTGTTCTGGTTTCCAGCAGGCCTTGTTCTATCTTCTTGGTAATGTTCCATTTGTTCCTCTAATTGGAGGCTGTGCTCCCACCCTCACTAGTTTTGCTGCCCTGTGCAAGTCCAATTCATTCTTCAAGGCCATGCCTGCCTTGGAACTGTGAGTTCCTTTTAAGCAGGGACAGGGTCTCTCTAGCTTATCCCTAGGGAACAAGATAGCCACTTGACTCTTAGAGACATTGCTACCTGTCCTCATTTGCTCCAGGCTGTGGGGTCCTTGCCAGCACACATCATTCCTTACCTGTGTGATCTAGGGCCTAAGAGAGGAGACCCTGGGATTTGCCTTCTGGAACTTTATGATAACCTACTAATGAAGGTATCCAGCTGTGAAGAGGTCTGAATATGAAACAGTGGGGACAGGAATGGAGATTTGCCCAACCGCCCTCCACTGTGTCCTTTCCTGTCCGTGCTGTCCCTGACCTCCCCTAGTAGACCTGGCTCTCTCTGGAAGATGCGCCCTGCCTCCCTTCCTCCTTTAGCTTCACGGAGAGCCTGCTCAGGTGACCACACTTCTTGGCTCTGGACACCAGGAGGCAGGGTTGCTCTCTTCCTCACAGAAACACCTCTAGGTGCCATGGTAACTTCAGGGGAGCTAAGGATGCCCATATGCCCATATAGCCAGCAAAATTTCCATCTCCGGATGTGGTGACAAGAGACTGGCATTTAAATAATCAGTAGATGGAGTAATGGATGTGTGACTAAGCATCATCTAATCTGTTGAGTGCTTGACTAGAACTAGCAGGAAGAGGAAAGGTGAATTGGAGCTGCGACGCTCATCTTGCTCATCTGCCCTTGGATGTTACTCAGCACTCCTGAAACTTTGGTCTTTAGATCTTGGTGCTATGACTGCCCTCTGATCCTCGTAGGCCTTCACATTCAGACTGAGTCGCACCACCTACTTTCCTGTATCTTTGATTGCAGATAGCAGATTGAGGGACTCCTTGGACTCTACAATCTCATATTCATGTGCACTACGTTATTATATGTATCATTCTCTCTCTCTCTCTCTCTCTCTCTCTCTCTCTCTCTCTCTCTCTATATATATATATATATATATATATATATATATATATATATATATATAGATATAAACAGTTTCCCCCCTAGGGATAGATACATCTTCATACCAAGACCCAAAACAGGGTTGGCAAGGATACCCTAGGAACAGGTAAAGAATTATTTCTCTGGAGGACCAGAGGTAGTCAGGATTAAGGGAGAGAGCAGGACAAAGGGTTCTTTAACTGTATCTGGACTCTCTCTCTCCCTCCCTCTCTCCCTTCTTCTCTTTCTTATTTTCTTTCTTTTTGATCTTATTTTGTAGCCCTGGGTGGCCTGGAACTTGCTATATCTACCAGGCTGGCCTCAAACTCACAGAGATTCGATTGCTTCTGTCCAACCCAAGTTTTTACTTCTTAATTTGTGCTTTGAGTTTTGCAGTGCTGGGGATAGAACCCAGAATTCATGCATGCTAAGCAAGTGCTCTACCACCAAGCCACATACCCTAGATTATACCATGTATTTATTACTTGTAAGATGTGAAAATAAAGGGACCGGTTCAATCCTAGAATGCCTTCCCCAAACATCACAGGTACATAGAGTTAATTCTTTTTCTGGGATCAAATAACACTGTCCCCTGTGCTCTGGACAATACAGGTTTATTGCAATGTTTGTGCCCTTCTTTCTCTGAGATGGGAAACACCCTCAAAGGTACAAACTTCTTCTAATTCTTGATCCCAGTGTCCAGCAAAGTGCCTGACTCTGAGCAGGTCCTCAGGGAAGGCCTTTAGTAGTGAATGTGCTCACCATGGGACAAGTCTCATGTTGTTTCCCAGAGACTAATTAATAATGTTCTGTGGTCAAGGAAGAACATCCTCAGGAGTCTAAAATGTGGGCAGCAGTTTCCAGCCCTTACATGAGGTCAGGGCTGCATTAAGACCTGGGATCTGGGGCAGAGTCATTATCTTGTCACTTGGCATTCTTTTGAACTCACTGCCTCAAGAGATCTCTAAACATTGAAGTTGTCAAGCCTGGACCTCATTTGTACTTTTTAGGTTGGAGAGGGCCAGTCCAAATAGAACATCCTCACACACGGTAGGCCAAGGAGGTAGGAATGAGGGGACACACAGGTTAGCTCAGAGTCATCTAGGCTTGGAGGGGAGGAACAAGGTGTCGGAGGGGCTTGAAGAAGGCACCTGGAATCTTGCTTTAATGACAAAAAGTTTATGTGTATGCATTTTGCCTGTATATATGTGTAACTCATACATGCTTGATGCTGGAGGTCAGAAAAGGATGTCAGATGCCCTGGAACGGGAATTATGGATGACTATGAGTTGCCCATGTGGGTGTTGGGAACTGAATCCCAGTACTCTGCAAAGCAATAAGTGTTTTTAACTCTTGAGCCATCAATTCAAACCTGGATTGCCGGCTTTTAGAGTTGGGAGCATATGCCATGTAGCCAAGGGTGTGCCAATGGCAAGGAAGCTGCAGACAAATTTGAAGCAGCTTGTCTTCCAAGAATACCTTGACCACCAGCTCCTGTGCTCAACCTTCAAGAGGACAGTGTTTGTGGGGTGTTAGGAACTGAAGCTAAGTACCTGGACTCTTGAGGAGATAAGGGCAGTGGTGGCAGCAGCAAGAGTTCCGAGACCACCTGTGCCAACCCTCCCCAAACTCAGACTCTTGCAACCAGAATTAACAAGACTATCAGAGTGCGTGCTACAACTTTAGACATCGATAAAGAACATACCCAGTCAGTTCTCTCTTTGCAAGTAACTTTTATTTACAACTGAATTGGTGGCTTTGTTCCTCAATTTTTAGGGACACTTGGCATCAGCAGCCAGAGGGAAAATCTGCGGTGAAATCAAACTCATTCTGCCCCAGCCACAGCTCGGGAAGCTCATTGGCTCGGTCTAGCCCCAGCTCTACCACCAGAGACATCAGCACTTCCTCATCCACTGGGTCAGAATCAATGATAGTAGGGCTCTGGGAACCAGCAGGAGGAGTGGCTGATCCTGCCGCTTCTGCTCCTGCTCCTGCTCCTGCCACCGCCGCTCCTGCTCCTGCGGCTTCCGCCGCCGCCGCCTGGGCCCCGAAGTCCCAGTTTTGCAGGGGCCCTGCCTCCCCTGGTTGGCCTGGAGTGGCAGCAGCAGCTGCTGCTGCGGCCCCATGATACTGGCTATTAAGCTTCTGCAGCTGCATACTGGCCAGCAGATGAGGGGCAGGGTGCAGGTTGAAGGGTGGGGGCTTGGTAGAAGGGCTGGCAGTAGGAGAGCCTACTGGAGATGCTGATCCAGAGGAGCTTGCAGGAGCTCCATTGGCTTTGGCTCCATTTGAGTTGACCGCAGGGTAGTGCAGGATGGCCACTGCTTTGCGATCCTTCACCCCGAGGTTGGAGTAGTCCAGAGAGTTCATCTCCTGGTTGGCATCCTAGAAGACAGAAAGGTACACCATAGTAGCCCTCCTCCTGGTTTTCTTTTTGGCATTCACTGGATCTGGACTGCTCCTGCATGCCCTGCATTTAGTGTTAATAGTGGGCAGGTGACAGGAAGAGCCCCTGGACAGTGAGGTTTCTTTTGCTTCTGTGATTCTGATTCCTATGTTATCCAAAGTGGGCCTCCCTCCCCTGCTACTCAATGTGCCCCCCCACTCCCGTCTAAAAAGAGCACCCCTTTGTCCCTCTCCTCAGCCCCACTATAATCTCTTTGCTACAGTGGTCATGTTTCAATTCTGCTTCTTTGCTCCCTTCCTGCTGTCTGTCTTTCAATACCCCTAGTGAGTTCAATTCAATTACTTTTTTTCCAAAAAAGCCCTGCTGTATCTTCTCTGGTCAAGCACACTGGCTATATGCACACCTAGGATGGCTAGGAGCATGTCCCCCTCCCCTAAAGTCCCTCTTTCCATGCCGCAGTATCTCCATTGGTAAAGTGGCAAAACTTACCTCCTTCGCAGAGTTGCTACCACCCTTGACATCAAGTGCAGGCCTTGACATAGTTGGCATTTCAGAGTCTGGGCAGAAGTCAGATAAATCGGTGGGAGTTGACGCCTCCAGCTGGAGCTCTTGGTCTGTAAGTAAAAGAGAAGAAATGAATAAAGGTGAAAGGCTTTCTTGACAAAGGAAGCACTAGAAAATTCCAAGTCAGGATCCTGATCGGGTTAAACTTAAAAAAAAAAAACCAACAACAACCAACCAACCAACAAACAAAAAGCCCAGGAGGATCTGGGCAGTGAGCAGAAACCGAGGTGAACTCTGACCTGAGGTCAGGAGTATGCTCTATTCAGGCAGGCTCTAACACCGACCCCCCCATCCACAATGCCAAGAGAGAACACATGAACATTTACTCATACAGGTTATTTCAGAGTCCAGAGCTAGGGGTGGCGCTGTTCCTGATTCCCAGAGCAGGCATGTCCCTGAGAAAGCACATCAATGGACCACTAGCTGCCAGGTCTAGGTCTCCGATGGAACTGGGGAAAAGTGAGAATTCGGGAGAAGGATGCCCTAGAGTCTCCAAAGCCCTGTCTTGGGGTATGCCTACAAGAAGACAGCAGCCCAGGGTGTTTTGGAGGCTCCGAGGCAGCAGGGGCCACAGAACAGCTGGAAGTAGCTTAGTTCCTTCATGTCTCAAACACCTATTAGACAGTCCCTAGATTGGGCTTTCCTAGGACAACTGTCCCAGAGCCCATAGCTAGACCACACCCATGTGGGGGACGAGAGAAGAAAGGATTCTTCCTGGAGGGAAAATCCGATGGTTTTCAGCCTGGAAGCAGCCGCAGCAGTTTGGAGAGCAGCATCTAGCAGTCCTTTGCCACATAGCTCTCCTGCCCACAGGTCAAGTCCTCATACCCGAAATACTCAGATGGCTTCTAAAGAAATGATTCTCTTGCCCATGTACCAAAGAGATAAGAGAAGAAGGGGGAAAAAAACAAAACCAACCAACCAAACAAACAAAAAACCACTTCGAACTCAGAAAATTAAAATTTCTTATTTTCCTGGAAGCATATTTTTAAAACCCTCATATATTCTAGCATTGTCATCTTAAGGTACCCAAGAGTCATTTCCCCAAAGAGACTAGAATTTTGCTGGGACTCTACCCTCCTTGTTACCCCCAGCGGTTGTTAAGATTGTATTGGTTTCTAAAGGTATCACTATCCCTTTTCCTCTTCAGCAACCGACTACTGGGAGAAAGGAAGGCAGGGGAAAAAAAAGGAGAAAACATGGAGGGGGCACTGGCTGGGTCCCGCACCACCGCTTGACTGAAGTACAAACAGAGCTCTGAGGCAAGCCATCTATATTTCAGCCATCTATCTCAAGACAAGGGCGCTAGCGCCTCGTCGTCAGGAGAGCCAGCACCGCCACTATAGCAAGTTCCTTATTGCTTCACCTTCGTCTCCATCTTCTCCCTCCCGTATGCCACCCGTACCCAAATGTCCAAAGGGAAAAAAGCCTCCCCCCAAGAGCAACACTAACAGGGGTTAGAAAATATGAGGAAAGTGCGTGTGCTCTGGTGTCGCCTCTCAGGGCAGGCCCCTGTAACATTCCCCTCGAGGCGCGCCAGCCCGCTCGGAAAAGCGCAGAGCCGGTCTCTGAGGTGATCTTATTTCCTGCCCCCCGCGACCCCATTTTCTATCCCCCACCCCACCCCTCGGCCCATTGGAGGGGAACAACTTGCTTCAGGAATGTCTGGACGAGCCACGAAGTGACCACTGCGAAGCCGCCGCGAGCCGCCGCGAAAAAGCCGCGCAACAAGTGCCGGCTCCGCGGCTCGCGCCTCCCGTTACTCAGCCCGGCCTGGCCGCCCCCCGCATCGGTCCTCGCCCAAGGGGAGGGGGTGAGAAACGGGGGTGGAGAAAAGGGAGAGGCAGGTAGGTGGGGGGGGGGTCATGAACCTGTCTAGGGAGCAAAAGTTAAAAAATGGCACCAACCGGTACACTCCATCTCCATTGCTACTGAGAAATGTAAAATAAAAAATCCAAACAGCACTGCGGCTTGGCTTGCACGCCGCTCCAAGCAGTCCGTTGTTTACCGACAGCTCGCCAGGCCTCCTTGACGCGCCCGGTGAGGGCCACCAGCGCGGGGCTTGGCCGGACGCAGCCCTGTCCGCCTGGAGCGAGCAGTCGTGCCTGAGGGCTCCAAGCTTCCGTTACCTCAGGTGCTCGGCAGCAGACAGGCGATGAGGCACGGGGTCTCCGCGTCAGCGCGACTTTGGGGACCCGCAGCGTCTCCGCGCGCGGGGGCGCACTTTGGCGCCAGTGGCAGCGGCTCGCGCGCCTCGCCTCACTTCCGAGTGTCCTCAGAGCGTCCGAAGCTGCCCGTGCTCCCGGGCTGCTAGCGAACGTTCGAGGTGTCGAGAGGTGCGACAACTTACCCAAGGTCACAGGGCTAAAAAGTGGCACAGCCCCGACTAGCTGTCCCACCCCAGCTCAGGCGTCCCGCGGAGGTAGGGGCTGCGCCGCTGCTTCCCCTCAGAGGGGTGTGTGCGCGGGAGCAGGGAGCGGGGTGGGCTGCGGGGGGGGGGGAAGCAAGTTGCCCCAATGCTCCAACTTGCAGCCGTCAGCTCGGCGACACTCGGCCCGCAGCCCCTCGGTCTCCAGCCCCCAAGGAAACAAGAGCTTTGTGCAGCTCCCGAGCGGCCTGATGCAGTCCCGGCTATAGGCGAAGTCGGGGAAGCAGAGCCGGAGAAAGCGCGGGCGCGGGAGGGGAGCTGCTGCGGTTTCCTCCGGACAAGTGGGCGCCCAGTCCCGCCGCCTGCCGTCCCAGCGGCCCGGACACCGGCAGCAGCAAACAAGTCCCCCAGCCCCTCAGGCGGGCCACTCGGCATCCGACCGTGTCCTCGTCTCCCTCTGCCCCAGCCCAGTGCCCTGCCCGGCGGCCCGGCTTACCTCCGCGAAGCCGCCTGCCCGGGAGAGAGAGGGAGGATCGCAGGGGCTGGGACGCGGGACGAAGCGGCCGAGCCCCCAGCCCCTTGGCACTCACGCCGCCGCCGCGAGCCGCTTGCTGCCTTCGGATT